ATTGATTTTCGTAAAATTCGAGCAAAGACCTTCCATTTGATAGGTAACAAGCTATAGTTAACATAATATCCACTATCTGGCCCTAGTTGAGGTATACTTCCCTTAAGGCCCATCGAACAATCCTATTTGAGAGCGTTCAGAGGTCTGCAGCACCAGAATCGCCGTTCTCACTCGTCGGAGACGGATGACCTCGAAAGCGTGAAAAATGACCAGAATGGACCTTGAAATTAATGGAAAAAGTCCGTAGATCTGGGGAAAAATCGCATCGTCTGTCTCTCTCTAACACATGGGCTCTCATGGGGCTTTCTGCCGTGCAGCGTAGAATTTCCGTAGAATCTGGGGACAAATGACTTAGAATTTTGAAAATTGCGGCCGTTTCGGCATAGTCCCTTTACTTTCCAGAAATGGGTGACCTTTGAAAAAAATCCAAAAACACGTTATTATTTTTGAAGCCTCATCCCATGATATGAAAATGTAACGTCACCGGTGCTGGAGAAATGACGAAATAAACGATTTTTTCAAATACAAACAGGGACCATGTGACACCCCATCTGATGGGTCTACTGAACGTCTATCCAACAGTCAAAATTTTGCATTAGAAGATTGCTGATTTGTTTGAATGAATCTTGCAGAGGTCTGCTACTGAGAATTGAGCATCTAAGGGTCGTCTAGTTTCAAAAATTCATTCCATACATTTGCATCATACTGAACATATATAAACATAATATAAAGGTTTTTTGTAACAAAATATGGATATATATATAATCTTATTTGATGAGAAGAATGTAGAGTAATAGCAATATACTATGAAAGAAGACATTTTTGAAACCAAAATTAGTTTCCGAGATGTTCCATTATCGAAGGAGCTGATATTATTTCATCACCTATTGTTTTTTTTATCATATGAATTTCTATAGGTTTCTAGTTACGACTACGCCACAGATCAACAAACCTCAACTACGCTTCGTCTATCCAACAGTCGAAATTTTGCATTAAAAGATTGCTAATCTGTTTAACTGAATCTTGCAGAGGTCTGCTACTAAGAATTGAACACCTGAGGGTCGTCTAGTTTCAAAAATTTATTCTACACCTTTGCATCATACTGTACACTGTACATATATTTACATAATATAAAGGTTTTTGTAACAAAATATGGATCATTTTGAAGATATCTATAATGTTTATAATCTAATTTAATAAAAACAATGTAGAGTGATAGAAATATACTATGAAAGAAGACATTTTTGAAACCAAAATCAGTTTCCGAGATGTTCCATTATCGAAGGAGCTGATATTATTTCATCACCTATTGTTTCTATCATCATATGAATTTCTATAGGTTTCTAGTTATGGAATATGAATCATTTTGAGGATATCTAATGGGTGTCGATACTATTTCATCTGTTGAATCGCATGAGATCAAATCTATATTCGTAGGTTATCTTGCATATAGAGCACTATGTTGTGAAGGCAGGGAGTTTCAACTACGCCACAGATTAACAAACCTTAACTACGCTCCTCCAGTTTCAAATTATCACATAGATGATGTTTTCTGGCAAGCACGTAGATTGTCCATGACTTTCGCATTTTTCACTTTTCATACCGACATTTATGACCAATTGCCGCTCGATTACCATCATTATCCGTATTGATTCGTCTATAATGTTGCTAATTATACTGAATTCCATCAAACCTGAAGCGATTTTTTCGATGAGACTGAAGATAATCGCGAACACGTCTACCTCTTAATATGGTTTGCGTCATGGTTCTCTATATATGGAATTTTTTTTCATATATAAGATGGTGTGAACTGTACTCCACATTAAAATACATTTTCTATATTTTCTCGCAATTAGTTCTTTCGATTTTCAACACTCTGCTAGGTTGCAACCTAGTAATTCATCAGTAATGCACCTTGGGATATCTTCCATAGATGCACTAGATTGTTCAGATTCAACTTATACTCTACGATCATTGATGTTTCATGATTCTTCAATTTGCCTCGCATATGTGGCAGGACTGTTGCCGCTTCCATCTGTTTGAACGACTATAGGATTTATGCCCATTTGTGATATATTGTATGGTATCTCGAACGTTTGCCTCCTGATATGGTTTTTTGTCACAAATAAAACAACCTATAGGTGATATAATCGATACTATATGGCAGTTGGAGCACTTTGAACATCAATTTTCGTATAATTCAAGCAGACACCTTCCATTTGATTATACAACAACCTATAGTTGGCATAATATTCAGTATACGGCCCTTGGGGACCCTTCAAAAATTGATTTTCTTGAAATTCAGGCAGAGGACATTTCATTCGATAGGTAACAAGCTATAGTTGATATAATATCCACTACATGGCCCTTGAGGCCCTTCAAAAATTGTTTTTCGTGAATTTCAAGCAGAGACCTTTCATTTGATATACAACAACCTATAGTTGGCATAATATTCACTATATGGGCCTTGATGACCTTAAAAATTAATTTTCGTGGAATTCAAGCAGAGACCTTTCATTTGATATACAACAACCTATAGTTGGCATAATATTCACTATATGGCCCTTGAAGCCCTTCAAAAATTGATTTTCGCAAATTTCAAGCAGAGACCGTTCGTTCGATATACAACAACCTATATTTGGCATAATATCCACTATATGGCCCTTGAGGCCCTTCAAAAGTTGATTTTCGTAAATTTTAAGCAGAGACCTTCCATTTGATATACAACAACCTATAGTTGGCATAATATTCACTATATGGCCCTTGAGGCCCTTCAAAAGTTGATTTTCGTAAATTTCAAGCAGATACCTCTCATTTGATATACAACAACCTATAGTTGGCATAATATTCACTATATGGCCCTTGAGGCTCTTCAAAAGTTGATTTCCGTAAATTTCAAGCAGAGACCTTTAATTTGATAGGTAACAAGCTATAGTTGGCATAATATTCACTATATGGCCCTTGAGGCCCTTCAAAAGTTGATTTCCGTAAATTTCAAGCAGAGACCTTTCATTTGATATACAACAACCTATAGTTGGCATAATATTCACTATATGGCCCTTGATGCCCTTCAAAAATTGATTTTCGTAAATTTCAAGCAGAGACCTTTCATTTGATATACAACAACCTATAGTTGGCATAATATTCACTATATGGCCCTTGAGGCCCTTCAAAAATTGATTTTTCGTAAATTTCAAGCAGAGACCTTTCGTTCGATATACAACAACCTATAGTTGGCATAATATTCACTACATGGCCCTTGAGGCCCTTCAAAAGTTGATTTTCGTAAATTTCAAGCAGAAACCTTTCATTTGATAGGTAACAAGCTATAGTTGGCATAATATTCACCATATGGCCCTTGAGGCCCTTCAAAAATTAATCTTCGTAAATTCCAAGCAGAGACCTTTGGTTCGATATACAACAACCTATAGTTGGCATAATATTCACTACATGGCCCTTGGGGACCCTTCAAAAATTGATTTTCGTAAAATTCGAGCAAAGTCCTTCCATTTGATAGGTAACAAGCTATAGTTAACATAATATTCAGTATCTGGCCCTAGTTGAGGTATACTTTCCTTAGGGCCCATCGAACAATCCTATTTGAGAGCGTTCAGAGGTCTGCAGCACCAGAATCGCCGTTCTCACTCGTCGGAGACGGATGACCTTGAAAGAGACAAAAATGACCAGAATGGACCTTAACTTTTCTTATGGCGATTAACATGGGAAAAGTGGTCGAAATGCGGCCGTTCTCTTGTAGCTCCTTTACTCTCTCCCTCTGCTTCCTCCACTTCTCCGCTAGAACACAAGATCGCAAGTAGCCAGCCAAGTCACGTGGTTTGGATATTCGAAGAAAAGTGAAAGGGAGGGGTGAACTGGAGTGAGAGGCTTTCTACTGACGCGTCATATATAATATAGGCAATTTTTTGCAATATGATTGCTCCGAGCGTGAACAAGGGGTGAACTCCATATATTGGGTGAATGGAAAAAGTAACGGGAATCGAGACTGACTTCATTTGCATTCGATCCAGCCTGCTAACGAATACCGGGAATTAGACACAAGTGATTCCTAACTTTTTGCGCATTTTAGAGTTAAAATATTCACTTGTCTTCCACAATCAAGTGAAATTCGAATTTTGTGAGGATTATTGGAAGTATCGTTCATTTCAAGCTGAATAGTAACGAGTAGAATGTCCTGTACAGTCATCTTCAGAAAACATGTCGCACATGGACGATGATAGCATTCTTAATAACTCATGCAATAAGAGCGCTGACACCGTCCAACCGCGACATGATCTCTGAAGACGACTGTACATTGTATACTATTTCTGCGATAGAGTAGGCGGCTCATCTCGTGGACTGCGTCGCGGTGCTGATTTTTGTGTTAATACTGTGTCCAGAACTCGAGGTGTACGAATTGATTGTTTCGACGTTCGTGCAATCTGATTGATTCGTTTCGAAGTTTATGTGTCCCAACATAATATGGTGTTCTCTTCTGCCACAAATACAACGATTGGATCTTGACGTCCCTGAACAATTCGAGCAACAAATATCATCCTCATAAAATCATTTTTGTCTTTTGAGGATTTTGATAAGAAGTTTTGACATGTATAAATGGTGTGATCTGAGTTTTTTACAAATAGAACAATTGGTTTCATATCCATTATATGTCGTCAACATGAGTGCGGAAGCTCAATTCAGGTTTTGATAATTCGCATTCGTTTCCTGTCAGCTGAAAGCACTTTTGATGAGCGTTGGTAAACTAATACTGTCTCAGGGGCATTGCACTTCTGTGTGCCGAAATCTTCAAGAGATCCATACGGAAGGATATCTGTCGTTTGATGATGATGATGATGATGATGATGATGAAAACCATGATATAACTGAAACACTTCGTATCGAATACTTATCTTTCATATATTATAAATTTCCATTCCAAACAATATGTTGGTAGGTGAAACAATAAATAGAAATATCGATGAATACATCGGATTAACTTTTTTAAAATAGGTAATATTTATTGATATTCTCCCATGAGATTATATTACAGTCAATCTAGTAAAACTATCTCTAATTCAATAATGGCAAGATCAAATATTGACACTTTGTTTCAACTCCATAAATTGGAAAGGAACATGTAGATTACAATTCTCGTGTTCGACTATCAAATGACCTCTACGATGAGAAGCTCCTATGACTAAAACAGTCTCTCCTTTGTGTAAAACCGACCCTTCACCATTATTTTCCTCAGGAAAATTCATTTTCATAAGTCGTGCTTGGGGATAACCATGTTTGGTATTGCCGGTGACAGTATAAGATCGACTCGGAGGTACAGGTGGAGGCCGTTCCAGGTCTAAACCGTATAAACTGCAGGTCAGTTGAATTATTTTAGAATCACATTTCTCGTTGAGATCAGGTGGAGGAGTACCAGCGATAGGTTGTGGTCTTGGTCTAGTACTAACCAAACTATTTCGTGATACAGGCGGCTGATTGCATGTCTTCTCTTTTCTCAATGTTGCCCAACGATACCTACAATGCCAACCTCTCCATGTGGACTGTATCAATATTGCAGCTTTTTGACGCGTGTCACTCCTCAGTTTTTCCAAGTGTTGTCTGATTCCTTCGCTGAGGAATATATGTCTCTTACCCATTGCGAAGCTATTCGAAACGAGACCTTGCTGCTTTGTTATCGAATCCAATACATATTGCAAAATCAAATTACTATCATCAATCACTTTTTCTTCTGTCCTATGTATCGTTGCAAAAGGTGCTAAAAGACGATACCTTGAATTGAAAGCTCTGAACCGCATACGATGTGGATAACCACCTGCCATCAGGTTCACTGTTTCTAGGACTTGTAATGATCTTATCTGTCGAACCACTGTTCCACGGTCGAATTTATTCGCAGTTTCCTGGGAATTACTGCATATACAGCGCACAAAGTGGGGTCTCGCATGCACCAGTGTTCTCAGTAGGTTATCTAATCTCGTGTGGAAATCTTGAGTTAGTGTAGATATAGGTTCATCCCCGTTGAGGAGATCAGCATGAGAAGTTGGGGATATTCTGAAACTAACTCCTCTTGGTACTGTTTCGACAGAAAAGAGCGCTTTTAGTTCACTACCAAAAAGGTGTGTTGCAAAGCCAAAGTTACAAGTATGCTTATAAAACACTGCTACTAAATCGTCTGAAATGACGTCTCTATTCGTTTCTAAAAAGCCTGTAGCATCGTATACTATTCTGCCAGCAAAATGTTGAATACCAAACATCCTTGGATCTAATGGCTGTGGATCAAATAATCTATTATTGCTCTTATGTTGAACTTTGATTTTGGAAATGTAGGATTCAGCTGTTCCTCTACTAGAACACTCTACATCTAACATACTGAGGAGACCTGTACGTAGAGAAGATACTAGATCGATGCATGGTACATTGTCTACATAGTCAACCTCAACTTCGCAGTTTATGCCTTCATCACGACAGGATTCAATGCTGGACTTGAAAATATGGGTGTTATAAAAATGTTGCATGGTTTCAGCACACAGATTGATACATAAATGTTCCAATTGACTTGGTTTGGGATCCTCGAAGCCAAACATATCAAGAATACCAATGAAACCATCTGTTGCGTGTCTTACTGCATTGTTCAGAGCCGCCATTGATTTGCTACCCGCATGTGTGCTTCCACCAACGGTTGAAGTGTGTTGACTGGTGACTTCGGCTTGATTCTGGACAGATTCATTACTATCTGAACTGAGAGTGCCTAGGGTGGACCCTAATCTTTTGAGACTATTAGCTCTCCGAACGATTGTAGCTACGGTACGGCAATATAAAGCTTTAGCAAGGCAGTCTCTTGTCATATTCGACATATTCGCATCACAAACAGACTTCACAAGCTGTCCTCTTGAATTGTGGGAACGGGAAGTTAGTCCACGAAATAGGGCAGTTCCCGACACGCCTAGTAGTCCGGCTACGGCATTGAGTTCTTTTTCTCCGTTGACATCAACTTCTAAGCCCGTTCCATCGATGAATTGTACGTTACCTAGTAGTAGAACGGCTGCGAGAACACGAACGACGTCTAGAAAAGGGATGCCCAGGATCCCGAGGCAGTTTTTCCATGCTTGAAACCTGAAATGATGATAAAATATGGATTATATAAAATTTTTAATAGATTTCGATATTTCATAGAGAGCGCATAAGCGATACTGAACTACTCAGCACTATTTTCGTTGCGCCCCAAAACTTAGCCACTGTTGAAATATGAATTAATTGTTTTCTGCTTCTCACAATTTGAATTCTGATCACACTGTTTGCTAGCCTAGTCATTCAGCTATGATCTTGTACTGATTATCTTCTACGAATCAATGGACTGTATTTACTATTTACTATGTTTCACACTCTGTGAATGTGGGTATATCTTATAGACGAAATCTTCAGTACATGGAAGAGATGCAAACTGAAAGAGAGTATTGTCTGAGAGAACAAATGTGGAAGTAGCCTTAGGAGAATTTCATAACATATGGAACAAGCTGATAGGCTGTGTGCCCAAATTAGTTGTTTATTCAAAAACTCACAGCTTTCCAGTATGGTTCACGAAAGAAATCAAAGAAATAGAAAAATGTAGGAGATTGCGACTTATTTCTGATTTTCATTGCGAAAGGTATTCAAATTTGAGAAAAAGGGCTAGAACGTCAATCAGATCGGAGGAAAGAAAATATATGAAGAAAATTGAACAAGATTTCACAAGAGACATAAAACATTTTTTGAATCATGTATATCATAAACAGAATAATAATTCTGATCTGAGTAATTACATCCATAATGGAAACCAGGTTAAGGAAGAAGAAACTGCGGATGCATTTGCAAGTTTTTTTCATCCGTTTATTCATCAATTTAAGCATCGTATGCGATAAACCCCACAATTGTTGACACTACCATAAATAATGATATATTTGTAATCGAATCAATTACTAAAGGAGATTATAATGAGGCTGTAAAAAAATTGAAGCCGATGAAAGCAGCAGGGATAGATGGAATTCCACCATATATCCTCAAAGCTTGCGCCGATTGGATAAGGCTTCCTCTCACGCATATTTTCAATCTAATTATTACTTCTAACGTCTTTCCTACAATATAAGAAATAGCTTTTGTTACACTAATCTTCAGATCTGGAAACAAGATGGATATTGAAAATTATAGACCTATATCTATAATGGGTGCACCAGCAAAATTATTTGAGCAAATCTTATATTCGGGTCTATACCAATTTTTTGAAAACACGCTAACACCTCAACAACATGGTTTTGTGACAAATAAGTCAATAACCTGAAATCTGTTGATTTTCACCAATAATGCATACGATGCTTTGAATAGTAAGTGTCAACTAGATACTATCTACACAGACTTTCGCAAGGCATTTGACCTGGTTGACCATGATGTGTTGTTGGGGAAACTGGGCAGATTTGGTATATCACGCAACCTGACTGAATTAATTAAAAATAATCTACAGGATAGAATGGTGGTGGTGGGGCATAATAGCAATACCTCTGGTGAATCTGAGGCTAATCCTGGTGTTCCGCAGCGCTCAAATTCAGGACTTCTGCTATTTCTACTTCTCATTAATGATCTACCGTCAGTAGTGTAGTATTCAGATTGTTTATTGTTCGCGGATGATTTAAAAATTTTCAAATCGGTACGTACAGTGAGAGACTGTGTTTCGTTGCAGAAAGATTTGAATATTGTATTTGAATGGAGAACTTCGAATAAGTTATTTTTCAATTCGAAAAAATGTTTTTCGCTAACTTTAACCCGCAAAAAAGAATTAATAATATTCGATTAAATGATCAGTGAAGAATCTTTGAAGCAATGTTTTAAAGTGAAAGATCTATGAATTTCTCACGATCAGTCTTTATCATTTATAAAACATGAGGTTTTTATATTAAAAAAAATATCATGTTTATGCAAATTATAACACAGTGAGAACTATTGAGCTCAGAAATGAATTCAAAATTCTGTCTCTAGATGACAGACGAAAATTATCTATATTAATTTTCTGGCATAAAATCATAAATAACAAGGTCAATTCACCAGAAATCCTATGCCGCCTACGCTTTAATGTTCCCCAAAGAAGAACACGTACTTTAGTCATGTTCAACATTTCGTTATCCACAGAAGCTATGGCGCCTCTCGTATCCATGTGTAGATTAGCTGATGATTTCAATTCACTCACGAGCTTAGAATGGACAGACTCACGAAATACTTTCCGCAATATTGTGCTGGGACAAATCATCAATTTATCACTATTAGAATGAAAATGTCAATATATAATTATATCCCTACTATATATTGTACATAACTGATTATGGTAAAAAAAGTATTCAGCCCCATTATGTCAATCATGTTTCAACTTTGTATTGTGTGATTATGTTTATATTACCTATTGTAGATATATCTTTATATTACATTATCCATGTAATTAGACCTCACAGGTCTGTTAGGGTATAAATAAATAAATGAATAAATAAATAAAATAATGAGAACAACGAGCTGTGATATAACCACCAACCTTTAGTAAAGATGGATGTAGATCGAGAGGGTGATTCATCAAGATGTTTCTGAGTGAGATCGAGAATTATTGAGCTGGTCGAGATTGTGCACAACATCACAGTGGTACCATTAACGTATATTTTTCAACTTAACTCGCTGTCACCGAATCGTATCAAGGGAGGTACGCAGGTACGCACCAAAAACTAGCGAGATTGTGGAAAATAACAGCAGAATAACGCGTCGAAATTGTATAAGTAGATACAATTTAGATAAAAAATAATAGGAAGAGATTTTTTAGACCAATACCAAATACCCAATTGAATCATGAACAGAATATGTTGAAAATAAAATTAGGAAGTGGTTGGGGCGTTCATTGGTAAGGCGCATAGCTTGACCAATGATTGTTTAAATTCTCCATTCGAGGTCTTGACGAAAGCATCGCGACTGACTTCATCAGGACCCGGGTGGATTTCGATAATGCGTTCCATTCGTCAGTGCAGCAGAGGAGCATTTTTCCCTTTTATGAGTACAATAGTACCCAAACAGAGGTGTTACAGAAGTGACATTTCACTCACTGCGCTGGTGAAGGATATGAGAATATTCTTTGGACCAACGAGTCCAGAACTCTTAATAAAGTCGTTGAATAATTTGCCATCTACTCAACCGGTTCAACTTCAAATGCTGAAGATTTCCATCTGATATTGAGTTCAATTGCTCGAGATTTAGAAAGTGGCCAGGCGACAAGTCATTTGGATCTGTGCTTACAGCGCGAAGCAAGCGTGAATCAAGGACTGCCTATATATGGATGAGAAGGGTGTTCAACTCTTCGTATGACGAGAGCTGCTTCCCTTCAACTCTGGAAATATGTCTGACTGATTTCACCGCCGCTTCCCACAGATCACCAAAATGAAGGCTGAAAGGGGGGTTGAACTGCCAGTTCAAATTTCTTCACATGCAGCAGCTTGCATCATTTGAGAGAGATTTTGCTAGCAGCCAATACAAAATCAGTGCCATAGTCGCTGAATATACATATATGTACAGCGACCAAGCCGAGCAAGAAACCGTCCCAGAGTACCCATGAAGGCAACGGAAGTGTGGTCTCATACAAGTTCTAAGTGTAGAGCTTTTGTGGCGAAGCGAACGAAAACACTGATGTGAGCATTCACGCTCTAACCTTAGCGGTAACAGCATCCAATAGGGTCTACAAAAATCAACACCAACAACTGAGAAGGGATCAACCTGTGATATGCGGAACGATGGAAGACTCACCATAGGTGGTTGAAAGGGGGTAGGATTGAGTCTCTAACAATTTCGGCACTTTGAGATGACTTCTCGAATGACCTTGTTGGCTGAGACAATATAGGGAATCGTTTATCATACGAATGTTAGGAATATGAGAGCCATCCGCCCACCTACTCTCAGCAGGCCTCTTGAATCAAAAAAGGGATTCAGTTTCCGAAAGAGTTTGGAGAGGGTATTTTCCTCATTTATGTTGGCAATTTCACTAGAGTGAACATGTTTTTAGGCATTCTTCATCAGGGTATAGAGTGCCTCATTCGAGTCAGTGTCAGTGAGAGAATTGAGAATTCTTTGAGTTGGATGAGAAATATTGAAATTGAATCTACAGCGAACGAATAGTGATTTTCAATAAGAGTATCAAGAAAATTGTTATCAGAAATCGCTGTGAGAATTACACATTTTTTCCATTCCTCTGAAGGGGAATCAGGAATTAAATCAAGTAGTTTTGGCCACGTAGACTCATCATCAGAAAGCCAAGATGGTCTTGCTCACCATAAAGAATAGTTAACAAATTGAGAAAAAGAAGATAAACCTCTGGAGGCACAATCAGCGGGATTATCTGCAGATGGACTGTGACGCCAAATATGTGGAAGAACTTTTTCTTGAATCTGGGTGATCCGATTACCAACAAAAAAAGGAGATTTATAAGGTTGAGATCTAATCCAGGATAAAGCAACGGTTGAATCAGTCCAGGCGACAACTCGATCAAATCGAATGTTCTCCTGGTATGTTTTCAAGACTTTGGACAATTATTTCGTGAGGAGAACCGCCGCACAGAGCTTCGAACGTGGAACTGATATAACTCTCAGCGGAGAAACCTCAGATTTTGCTCAAATGCGACTCATTATTACTTGATGTGGAGCTTGAACTTTCGAACAATAGACAGCTGCATATCCCTTTCGCGAAGCATCTGCGAACCCGCGCAATTCGCAAGATGAAAAGTGGAAACAAAGGATATGTCTAGGAATTGAAACTTCAGATATGTGAGACAATACAAAATATCTAAAAATAGTGAATAAGCCTTTCCGCGTGAAAGGTGAGAGGAGATAAAAATCTCAGAGGATCAAAGATCCCTGATTAGTCGGAGAGAATGGAGGGTTTCGTACAGATGGAATCTAGTGTATTACCTCGAAACGAAAAAGTGTCACGAGACTAGTTTTACCTCAAATCTAACACATTGAGATTAAAATCGTTATCTGGATTCAAGGAAAGGCATGCGGGATCAGTAAGGGGGGCTGACACGAGAGAATGGTCATTACTGGCCCATTAATGGAGTTTCAATC